TACATGCCTCAGTAAATACATTTCAGAATGTATTTAAATAACATCTAATTTACTAATAAAATGTATACATTTCAGGGTTCTGGGGGATATTTAGTGACTATTTTAGAGGTTACTGTGGGTCAAACTATACAAATTATGAGTCAAATTTTTCCTTTTTTTAGGCTACATGCAGATAAAAACATCCATTTTATTGTGTTTCGTGGATACTTAAGATGACTATTGGTTCCCTAGAACTGCCAGTTTCAGACTGTTGAATATTTTTCTTAGCATTGATTGGCGCGATTATGCATTCACAATAGTATGAACAAGTATAGACCATTATATATTTATATTATACATTTTTAATTATGAATATTTAAGATATAGATCAGAGAAAGCAATTTTTTTACTATTAAATGGCTGACCCCATACATCTTGTTTTGATGTCTTTCAGGGGGAATTAAGCATTTATTATGGGGGTTAATCCCACTCCAACCCCCCTGTAATTTGCACTCTGGTGATAGCTCCAGGCTTAAAATTGAAAGTACAAATTAGTGTATAGGAGAGTTAAAATATTGTTTTGTGTTTATTTATTATATATTATAGCCGGCAGCTAGCTCTCTGCAACTCTCACATGGTCGCCCACTAAAGCTAAGCAGGGCTGCGCCCGGTCAGTACCTGGATGGGAGACCACATGGGAAAGCTAGGTTGCTGCCGGAAGTGGTGTTAGTGAGGCCAGCAGGGGGCGCCCAACCTGCGGTCTGTGTGGGTCCTAATGCCCCAGTATAGTGACGGGGACGCTATACTGCTCAGTGAGCGCCGTCTTTCGGATGAGACATTAATCCGAGGTCCCGACTCTCTGTGGTCGTTAAAAATCCCAGGATGTCCATCGAAATAGAGCAGGGGTTTAACCCCGGCATCCTTGCCTCTGTCCATCATGGACTTCTAACCATCCCCATATTCCAATTGGCTTCATCTCTGTCTCCTCTCCACCAATCAGCTGGTTTGTGGTGTGCGGTCTGGCGCAAAATGGCTGCCGTCGCATCATCCAGGTGAATGCTGCACACTGGTGGTGAATGAGGAGATTCCTCCCCCTCCCATTGTGTAAAGCGCTTTGAGAGCCCAGAAATACGCTATATAAATGTAAGGAATTATTATTAATATTTGGGGTCACAAAATTAATAAATCGCAATGACTGAATTTAATTTCCTGTAGTTAATCTAAGCTCATATGTTAGATAAGTGATTAATTAAAAGTTACATATGCGCAAATGTAAATCTCTATCCGCTTAACACACAGGATGAAGCATCAGGGCTAAGTTCTTTGTATATGGATTATCTAATTAGCTGGATTTGATTTTTGGTGGTTTGACATGACTCAGGATAGATTCGTTCCTCAAAACTCATACAGGAGTTGTCCTTATAGCAACAGGTCTGTAAAGTTAAACATGCTCAGGAGCAGCTTACAGTTTTTTCTAACAGGCTTAGATTGCGTCATTTCAAGTGAAGGAGAAACTGAAAGTATGTACCAACTGCTGACATTTACTTACAATAGAAAATAAAAATAATGCTAATTGAATTTATGAATTTATATAATTTTTAAATTATTAAATAATTAAATAATGAATTGAAATAAATGTAAAACTTCAATTAAATAAATGTAAACAAACAGTACATAAATAAATGTAAAACTTATGTAATCTATACTACCAAAGTTGTAAATATGATTTATAGGTGTCATGCACATGTTACAATCACTAATATGTGGGTGATCTAATGCAGAGTAGGAGCTCTTCTCACTTCTCAAATCTCAAAATGCTTTTTTAATGCAAAATGAATTTGTTATGTATTATGCTACCAAATTAAGCAACATTAATTCGGTCATGTTACAAATCTACTCTTAATGTTAAACTACACACAACAAATCTCAAAAGTTATTGTGTATCATTTAACAAACTGTTACATCTACTACAAATTTTGCTCAAATAGTTGACACTTAAATTTGGATGTTTTATTCTGATACACAAACTTGTTTGAAAAACTAAATTAGCCAGAGATCAAATATCATGATTGAAAGACCTGTTAAATCACACATAAGGTATGAAAAACAGATGGCAGGGCTAAAAAAAAGGTGTACACAAAGGTTTTTTGTTTTGTTTTGCAGCTTATCTTTGCAATCTACATTTCTAGATGTTGCCCTTTCAGATGCTAAATTTAGGGGAGGAGGTATTTTGAAATCATACAAAGTGATTTGTTAAGTACAGGTACTTGTAGCTATGTGTTTGTATGTATGTACAGCTAAGGGAAATAATATCATCCCTCCTATGCAATATTTATTCTTTTTCAAATATTTCTCAAGTGATATTTAATGGGGGCGACGTTTGCGTAGGTTTCCACAGGGTGCTCCGGTTTCCCCTACAGTCCAAAGACATGCGGTACAGGTGAATTGAGTAGACAAAATTCTCTGGAGTGTATGTGTGTGAATGAGACTGTATGGATGTTTCCTAGAGATGGGTTGCAGCTGGATTGGCATCCTCTACGTAAAACATATGCTGGATAAGTTGTCGGTTCATTCCGCTGTGGCAACCCCAGATTAATGAAGGGACTAAGCCAGAAAAGAAAATGATTGGATGAATGATTGATATTTAATGGAGCAAGGAATTTTTTTTACTGTAATTCTCATAATATTTTTTCTTCTGTAGAAAGTCTTAATTGTTTTGTTTTGGCTGCAATAAAAGCATTTTTTAGAATTTTATTAACACAATTTAAGGTCATTATTATTATTAAGCAATACAATTTTTCGATTGTAAGCAAAACAAACCATCGCAATACAATAGCTGTGTTTCATTTCAGAGGCTTCAAAAGTGAGTCCTTCAAAGTCCACAAAGGCCAAACTGAGTGTTTTGAAATGAGATGATCTAGCCTACAGAAGACAGATCTCATCGCCTAGCAACCATAAAAGCTGCTGTGGTATTAAGCGGTAATACATTTTGTAATGTTTTTTTTTTTTTCAGTGATTTTAAAACTTATTTTAAGTGATCTGAAGGCAAAGCAAAATTTACCAAAGCTGGAAATATAATTCCTCAGATCCATACATGTACACATAAAAATGTAAACTGTCTATAAAATCATTTTTTATTAAGAGATGTCATACTCTTTGTTTTTTAACATTTGCTTAGATATCCAAGTAAAATCAACCTAATCATACATTTAATCTTTTATAATTATTTGATAGAGTTTTCTTTTAAAAACATCCTGCCCATATCAGCGCAGAAAAAATCTTGGGATGTTCGAGGCCGGAAAGGATACACTAGTTGTATCCTTCATTACCTGGGAAACGAAGGACGCATTTTGAGGCTGCTATTGAAAGAGCCTTTGAATTTTTTTTAAATGAGACAGCCTTCGTTGCGCTGGAATGAAACTGCGCCCTTTGAATGAATCCTTCGTAGGATGCAGCCTCTGAAATAAGACACAACTCATGACTTTCCTAATTACCCTAACTTTAAATGTCACTTTAAGCTGAATACTAGGGCCCTATCATACACTCGGCGCAATGTGGCGCAAGGCGTGGCGCAATACTTGTTTGCTAGTTTCAGCTTGGCGCAAGAGTCATTTTGAGGCGTTGCGCCACGCTCTTTAAATAGCAAATGCATTTGCGAAAATAATAAAAATATTTTATATATATATATATATATATATATATATATATATATATATATATATATATATATATGATATAGTAAGGATATATATAGGATATAAATATAAAGAATTAAAATATTACAAAACATATTATTTTCTAGCCTACATGAATTTAAAAACCACTGCCTTGAATCCTTAATCTCGGGAGGCTTTTTCAGTTCATTCAATTTGCTTTTGTATAATGATATTATTATTAGCAGTATTATTTATTATATCCATATTTATATTTGTTTTATTAAAAACAAGCTTAGATTTATCCATCTGTCAGGTTTTAGACCATATAAGGCATAGCATGTGTATTTGGAAATAACTCAGTATTTTGACCACACTTCGTTATTATTGTTAATTTATTCGTTTGCTGCAAATTAAAAATGAATTTAGAAATAGTTTTGAAACAAATCTTTGTGCTTAACAAACAAAATTAATTATTTATAGGCTAAATGATGTCTGTGCGTAAAGGTTTCCCTATCCATGAGAGCAAAGGCGAAAGTGAACTTACTTTACGTCATGTAAATAGCAAATGCGCTTATGGCACAACCCAAGGCTCTTAAATGGAATGGGAGATGAGACTCTGATTGGTTTATTCTCAAAACACACCTATAACTCATTAAGAAAATAAACTCAACCCTTTTAGACCATGCGCCACGGCGCAAAGCGGATTTTCCCGTCCTTATATTAGAAAATATGGATTAGGACACACCCTGAATGCATTTGCGCCCTGCGCTTTCCGTTTTGCGCATGGACCATCAAAATAGAGCCCCTAGTGTCTTGAAAAATATCTAGTACAACATTTTGTACCATCATCATAACAAAAATCTGTTATAAGAAATTAGCTATTAAAACTATTATATTGAGAAATGTTTTTTATTGTTTTAAATGTTACCAAGATTTGAGTTTACTGGTCTTTGTGCTCTTTTTAAAAACCCAAAAAAGCATGTCTTAACGCATTCTGCACCTGTATTGTTGGTAGACTAATAATTTAATTAGTTATGAAAATGAGCTGCTGTGCCCGTTCTTTAATTTGCCAGTAAGCCCCACGAGAAAAAATCCATATGGGATCACACTCTCATTCTAATCTGCCTCCTAGTTTTACAACACAGACAAAAAAAATAGTCTGTTTAACTATGTGGAAAACACAGTTGTGCAATCTGCTTTTTTCAAAACCTGACACACATGTGCAGACGCTCAGATTCAGGGAGGCGTGTGTTTGTTTAGTAGTGTGTGTGTGTGAAGTGTTTTGTTATTTCAGTTGAAAGCAGTTTGTAGTAAAATTAAAGTGGTTAAAGGGAGTGGCACGTGTGGGATTTATGCATGTATTACCTGTTTGACTCTGTGTGGATGTGTTGCTGGCTGTGAGCGAGTCACAGGAGTCGGGTGGACCACTAGAGGAAGGTGAAACAGATGAAGAGGATGAGGTGGAGTTGTGCTGGGCAATGTGAGCAACTGCAAAACCTGGAAAACAAACAGGCATATCCAGATTGCTTAGATCCAAAAAGATATATCGCTGAATGATATGAAAATTATTATTGACAAAAGTAAGCTGGAACTGTGGCTTAGGGCCCTATCATACACCTGGAGCAATAAGGCGCAAGACGTGTAAGGTGCAATTTGTGTCTATTTTCAGACCAGTGCAACTGTAATTTTCACATTTTGCACCACGTTGTTTATATAGTAAATCTATTTGCGCCAATTTGTGGATTCATGGGTGTGCTGGTTTATAAAGAAGGTGTGTTAAGGCGCATTGTTGTGGCGCGTTGCTATTCTGAGCAACTGAAATAGACAGTGCCATTGACCAACTTAAAGCTGGTCTAAAGTCCAGCACAGAGCAGTTATGCGCCTAAGCAGGTCTAAACGTATACACATTGTACGCATACACAATTGTTCAGCAATACACACATATCTTTACAAATAAAAAAGTATAAAAATGGTACAAGAAAAAAAAAAAATTCTACATAAATATAAAAACCACTACCTCTATGCCTCTTTTGGGGGCTTTTTCAGTTTATTCATGACAATTTGCATTTGTAAAATGTTATTATTATTATCAGTATTATTCATTATATTCATATTTATATTTCTTTTAATAAAAACAAGCCTAGATTTGTCCACCTGTCTGGTTTTGGACCATATGGGGCATAAGAATAGGATGTGTGTTTGGATATAACTCAAGTTTTTTGAAAACACTTCATTATACATGTTAATTTATTTGTTTACTGGAAATTAGATCTCAATTTCGAAATAGTTTTATAACAAATCTTTATGCTTAACAAACAAAATTAAATATGTAGGCTTATGGATGTCTTTTGTGAAGTGCATACACAATTCCCTAATCAACTAAAGTAAAGGAGTAAAATAAAAAGTAAAAGTAAAGAGGCCAAGTGGAGACACAGAGTGTTTTTTTTCAGTCTTTAAAATAGTAAAAGTGAATTCGGACATGCCCTTAAATGCTTTTGCGTCAAATGCTTTTAAATGCTTTCGCAGCCGTTAGTTGTTAAGACAGGAGCAGGTTTTAATCTGGCCATTCCATGACTCTTGTGAATAATTAGTAATTGTCTGAATGGAAAACACTTAAAAATATATATTTTCTTATTTGACTGGTTTTTAGTCTAAATATCTAAAAAAAAAAAAAAAAAAAAAAAAAATTTTAATTGACATTTTTTAAACAGGCAAAAACTGGTCTTGTAAGAAATAGTATGTCAAAATTAAGTGAGTTTTTCTTAAATCAAGTAAAATAATCTGCCAAAAGGTTAAGCAAAATAATTGTGTTTTTCCTTTTGACATAAGTTTATTTAACTTACCCCATTAGATAATTAAGCTTGTTTTAAGAAAAAAAAATCATTTATGTTGACATAATATTTTTTTTAAAACAACTGCCTCTTGAATTTTTAGTTATTATTAATTTAATTAACTATTTAATTTCTAAGTATTTTGCTGTGAAAAAAAGATCAAATTAAAAAGGACCTTTATGCTTTTACACTTATACTTGCTTTTATACTTATTAGTGAAACACTAATCATCAGATGATGAAAAATAAAAAAAAATAAAAATTAATTGCCAAATGATTTTAAGTGTCCCAGAGGGAAGCAATGAACAGGCCAAGCTGTTTCAGAGTATCTGGCATCAGACCAAGGGTTCTGGGAACCACAATCTCTTTTACCTGAACCAACAACACGTCATGAAAAGAGACTGAGAGACAGCTATTAGTCATCTGTTTCCCTATACAGAGAACTCACTTTTGTGAAATTAAGAATTACCACAATCCAACCCAAATTTGAAAGTATCGATACATTTTGTAAATATTGAAAGATTTTGTGGTATATTGTGTATGTAGTGAGATCTGAAAAAAAAAAGTATGTATACACACAGCCCAGCCAAAAGTTTGCTTGGTTTTACAGAAGCAAAAAATGCAGCATATGATTGGAGGTTTAAAACATAATAATTAACTGTGTGTGGCTTGTTAAATGTTTGGACGTTTTTATGTTTAACCTTAACTGATGCACTGTGTGGCTTTTTAAATTGGTAAACAACTATATGTTGGAGGACATATCCAGAAAGCCAAGGTTAAGTTATTATCAATTTCTCAATGAATAAGTATAATATTGTATTATTACACAGTTATGCTTGCAACACAATTCAACAATTGTTGCAAATACATTTAAAAATTACTAACAATTTAATAAAATTTTATAAAATTATATTTTTTTTTCCAAAAATATGCACACACACAGGCACACACAAACACTAATTAATTAAATCTTCTAACACCAACTCCTTCAGTATTTTAAATGTAATAAAAAAGACCAAAAAAGGCAAGAAAAAAAGCTTTCTGACCCTCCAACATTAAAACTGTTTAGATTGCTCATCTTTCTCATCCGTAAGTAGCTTTGAAAGCTTCTGCTAAATGACTTTCTATATATAAACTAAGCAATAATAGTCATAATCATGCTGAAGTACACATTAAACCCACTGATGTTGAACTAAAAGTCTAAATAAGGCTTGAATATCATGAAAGCTCAGAATCACAGCTGGTGGAGAGGAAGCGTTACCTAGAAACCTTATTCAGGCAAAACAGAACTGTAACTACGAGAAGCCCTAGAGAAATTCTGGGGAAAACAGAATTAGGATGTACAATTTGCAAAAAAAAAAAATTACTCAAATTTCATTTCAAATGTCCCCCAAGACAAGTAGTGCATGTTGCTTTTTGAAACCGAAATGTAAAGAGGTAAATGCTGCAAAACAAACTTTAAATATAGCTTGTACCGTAGCAAAAAAGGGGCCTTTGAAGTTGTAAGCATTTTCAAATAAAATGTGAATTTCACACAATATTCATAACAATAATAATGCATGTCTAAATACAATATAAGTGACAAAATATTATTTATTTACTTCAGCAGTAATATACAACAGGTATTAGTCTCAAAGATAAATAACTGAAGTTATAAATGTACATTTTAAACAAATGTGATATTTCTCTTTTTAATAAATCTGCAAAAATGTCAATAATTTTGTGTTTTTCAGTGAGAAAAAAGATTTAATTAAATAATTTTAGCAAATGGCCAAAATATTAGAGTGAAAAATTTAAGGGAGTCTGAACACTTTCCGTAACTATTGTGTGTATAAATATATATATATCAAAAAATTAATATATAATAGGGTTGGTCTATTTTTATATATTTATTTATAAACATTTTTTAAATTTAATAATGACATTTGTTTTTACATTATTACTCCGGCCTTCAGTGTTACACAGTCCTTAAAATATTAATCTAACTAATTTGGTGTTCAAGTAACATTTCTTATAATGATCAATGTTGCTATTTCCAATATTTATTTTTACTTCTGTAATGATTGTAAAGTTTGAAAAACATCCCTTCTTAAAACAAGAATCTTGTTCATGTAAAAGCCTACACTATACTACATCAATCTAAATGTAAATTTCAAGGACATTGCATAGAATATTTAAACATACGTTCATTAAAGAAAATGTAACAACAGAAAACAGCTGGGCTCCTACACATCTACGATTGTATCCTCAGTGGTTCGCAAATTTACCTGGAACTTTATCGACAGAGGCGAAAGCTGGCCCACGTCTGGACTGATCATAGAAACGGAAAGGCAAAGATGAAGTAACAGACGGTTGGCTGAAGCCCAGCACCTCTGTGGAAGGCTGAACAGGAAGATCCAATAGAGCTATAGGATTTTTTTTATACAAAGAAAAAAATGGGATAGAGATATTGGTTAAAAGCCAAAAATCAAAGCCTTAAAATGTGAAATAAAAAAGAAATAGAATTAGTATGAAAAATCGTAATCAAGCCATTCATTTGAGATGTTATTCTATCCTGTTAAAGTGTAACCATAATGCATATAGTCCAACTCAAATGACCCAAAGTCCATCCCCTTCCCCAATGTTGCACAACAGCTGGAAGTTCTGAGTAATCATCATTCATAAACAGAAGATATGAGCTGCTGTAAAAACGCAGTTTATGGCTTTGGCAAAGAACTGACCTGCTATCCGCTGCATTTTCATGCGCCTGGCCTGGATGCGGCCCTTGGCAAGTCGCTGTTTGGCGATGATGCAGCGAATATGGTCTGCAAAGATGAAGTTAGCCTGCAGGATGGGCATGGGCTTGGCGTGAGGGTTAGATGTGGGCTTGTGAATGATTATATTCAGAGCCCTGCTGTCGTCTTCCACTCCTGAAACCTGCATGTCCTGTGAAAATATACAAATACACAGAGGATTAAAACATTATTAATGTCCCAGAATATTTTAACCCTATTTTCTATTAATTAAAATACACAAATATTCCTACTGATTTATTTTAATGGTCTGGTCAATCTTGGTCAAAATTGACAAAATTATTTTTCTTAATGATTCTTTATAATCATTCTGAACAAGTCATTTTTTTGCATTTAATTTAAGCATCATTTCTGTATGAACACATTTTTTTGACTTTCCTACATTCCACTTGCAATGTTTTTTGGGAAATGAGATGTTATTACTTTCGCATTATGAATATATTTCACATCAAACAGCCGTACCTAATGCCATAATTGCTGTGCTGACAAGAAGCTGAAGGATATCACTTAAATTAAGCCTTACTAAACAGAACGATTTGTAAAATGTCTAATTATGATCTGAAGTGCTCCTTTCATGCCATTTTAAAGGTTCCTAAATTAGTTGTGGAGTTCAAAATACACGTTGTAACACAATTCACAATTCATACCCCCTCATTTCTCAAATCTCAAACTGGTTTCTGGTCAATCAAATGGCCCAATCAAATTGTTTATACAATAGGAAAATAGCAATGCTGTCAAATTTGATCATATCAATATTGAGCCCAAACATGAAACACTGGAAGAGCTAGTTCATCAACCCAAGCCTTCATTGCAAGCATTACTCGAGCAAAAAAAATCCCAGTGGTAATTTTTTTTACTTATTTCGTGGTATAATAAGATGTAACTGCTGCTTAAAGAATAGTTCACCTCAGTCATGCATAACACGCATTCGCAAAGCACCAAAACTTTGCGCTTATAATTTAAAATGAAGAATTTTTTTTTTTCACATCAATTTGCTTCACAAGACATGCGTTAACCCTCTGGTGTCTGGGTTAGTTCTATGATGGATTTTGAAAGTTTCAAAAAGAAAAGTCAGTACCAAACACCACTATACAGCATGGTAAAGAAAAAATAAAATTTAAAACTACTGACAGAAAAAGAAAGCCACATAAACTGAAGATGGTTTGAGGGTGAGTAAATTGTGTGGTAACTGTCATTTTTGGGTTAGATATTCCTTTAAATTCTTCAACATCAGAATTGACAAGCTAAATGTAGGGTTGGAAATGACCTGACACAAAAAAAGCATAGTTAACATAGTTAACACACCACAAATCTAAAATAAGGGGCGAATATGCACTATTAAACTAATCAATTAATAAAGGGTGAATATGCACCATTGAACTAATCAATTAAAAACACCTATGTTTGTTTGTAATTAAAGTGAAAATGTATCAAAAATTGGAATTTGCAGCTTTACACGTTAGGTCTCCACAAGTGTGACCGTTAGCGTTCTTGTAGTGCTGATTTGTTTAAAATTATGAATGCGTTCATGCAACCCTAAACGGCTAAAAAGTGGAAATGCTTTTCAAGAAAAGCTGTTGGACCACTTCATGTGTTGCTCAGCCAAGAAAAGAATGTGGCCAGAGTGTGCTTCCTTTGTCTGGGTGTTATCTTTGCAGTGTAAGAGTGGGAGTAGACCTGCAGAAGGCCGGCAAACTTGACAACACCCCAGCCAAGACGCTTTGAATCCGGTTCCACGAGACTCATCTGGTACACGTCTACAGCCAGAAAGCGCTGAGCTTGAACCCCATCTTTGCTCACCACCATGCAAGCGATAAGATCACTGTTGTCTAAAACAGACAAAAAAAAAAACAACAACAATTGAATAATAGATCGTTAATTTCCAGGGACTTTCAACAAATTCACATCAGGGAAACACAAGACATAAAGGTCAGAGCTCAAGTAGCGAATAGTATTCATACATTGCAACCAATTCAAGCGTTCAAAACAAACCAAAATCAATCATTTCAGGAATCTGAAAAAAATCTGCCTCTCACACAGACATGGGTTACACTTTCATTAAGGTCACAATTCATGGTATAAACAAACCATTATCTAAGACTACTAGCTTAATACACTACTAACCAACTCATTAGCTGTTTATTAACCCTTGTGACTGTTGACTTAATACCCTTTCATTTTGTTCGGGATGAAAACATTCACTAAATTAAACTGCTGTAATTTATTTAGAGTACAAAAACTAAGCTTTTTTTTGCAAAGGCAAGAGTAAAAAATGACAACTTTTACCTCTTCCTATTAGGAAAAACCCCTCACAATCAAAAATGCATGATTATATGGTGGTTATATTGGAAGTTAATGTGGAAAAAACTGCCACAAGCAGTAAATTAGTGAGAAAAAAATTAAAATCTAATGTTGCACAAAATCTAACAATGCATACTAACAAGTTGTCACATGTTGTTACTAATCTCTCACATGTCCAAAACTGTGATAAAATGTAAATAAAAATCTAGTCTACAATTACTTTTATATTGACAAAACTTCACAATAACAAAAGTTAAAATCCTGCAATATTCTAAACAATTTAGTAGATTTGATCAGGACTGAGGTTGATAAACAGATGATGATGATGATGATTATTATTTATTTTAAAAATATTTATTGATACATTTTTTAGTGGATGTTAGTTTAGTGGATGTTTTCATCTCGAACCTAACGAAAGGGTAGTAAATTTGCCCAGAGTGATTTGTTGAGGTTTTTTTTTTTTTTTTTAATTTGAAGCATTTTCTCAAAATATGTCAAAATAAGATGTCACCAAAAGTCATTCCACTAGCTGAAACACAGAAAAGGTTATTGCTAAATTAAGACTGAAATATCATCCCAGAGTGGATTAAAACATCCTCAACAGCACATAAGGGTTAATATTTAGTAAGATAGTAGTTGGGTTTAGTTTGGGGTAGGACTAAGAATTCAGAATGAGATCATGCAGTGCAGTTAAACCTCACTCCTCTGACCACTAAAGGTGCTCCAGCAACAGACGCTAGAGGCCATGGTCTTTAGCCTCTTTTTTAGAGCACCGACTTCCATTCAAAGTATTGCCGATTTGATTCTAGCTCAGACTGGGTTGGGTGCAGTAGGGCCGATGGGTTACACGTGGGGGCTCATCCGGGATGGGACTGAGGTTTAGGGGAGTGAGTGTAATGGGGACCAGCTATCTAAGTGTTATGCAGGTACACCTGACTCCTGACCTCTAAAGGTGCTCTAGCAACAAATGCTAGAGGCCAGACACTTCCTTGTTAGAGTAACAGACTTCCATACAAAAATTGTTGGTTCGATTCCAGCTCAGACTAGTTTGGGTGAAGTAAGTCTGGTGGGTTACATACTAATGAACAGTTAGTATCTTAATTATAAACCGGTAATAAGCCTGTAGTTAATAGCATGAATTTTCAAAGAAACAGTAGGACTTCCACAACCAAATATAGTCAGGCATGTCCTATTACAAAGTGCTAAGAAAATGTCAGATCAGGGTGAATTCAATCATGTTGAAGAGACAGTAAAGTGAGTGAGCGTTAAGCTGGCATTGAATCAAATAACTAAGGCATGCGGGAGTTTTCAAAAACACTCCAGTGAGTCATGACCTACACAGTGTATTAAGGCTATACAGTATGGTGAAAAAGGGGGTGTGCAAAGAAGGGGAGGGGTAAGTTATAAAGGTAGGTCATGAACGTTTGAAGGTGGACTGACTACTAATAACTGAAATAGCATCGTCACAACTGAAGCAATGTAATGCTTCCTCAGAAGTCACATTAATGGGTTAAAGAATTACTTCAGAACTGAAAGTGCGAGCATTGCTCTTCCTTTTAGTCTGCAGTACACTGCAATCATACAGAATTGTGTCACCTCTAGGGAAAATGATCTGGTCTTATACCTAAGAATGTGCACTTCCTTAAAGTTGCCTTTATTTGGAAAACAGACACATGGGTAAAGTATTTTGAACATATTGTCCTGTGGCATCATGTATCTTACGGGCAATCAGGGTGCATTTTACAGGTTGTTAAATGTGGTTATGTTGGTTGATTTATCTTTTTTTTTTAAACAGACAGCATTGACTTCAGTGTTTATTATTAGCAAAATAGAAACTAGTTGACTTCATTAAAATCATTCTGGTTTAAAATAATTCTAGTGAATCATTCTGAAAAAAATATAGAACCATTTGGACCAAAGATTAAAAAGGAACCTTCCTTTACAGGGAATTTATTCGCCAAATAATATCATTAGGTGATGATGTCCAGCCAAATGCTTTACAAAAGTGTAAAAAAGTCTTTGGCTAAAATGCATTTCGTAAAATAAAGCTTGGGACCCTAATGCAAGTGTTAACTAAATGAGAGTCATTAAAACAGTGCATCATAACTGTATTTTACTGACAGACAAACTGCTCAACTTAATCCTTTACACAAGTAACAGAATCAGAGCATCCAGATATCACAAACAGTAACATCCTGTTTAATTTCAAGAGAAAATATAATATGCAAGTGTATTTTAGCACACATCTATTAATAGAAGAGATTTTAGCTTTAAACCAAAGTGGGGGTGAGGTGTTACATGCAAAAGTACCATGTGACTAAGTGTTCAAGGTGAGAAACTTTTTCTGAGAAACTTCCTCAGAAAGAGTTCACATCATGTGTAATAATGATAATGCATAGACATGCATAGACATGAAAAAGGGAACCAAGAATGGGATCAAATGCATTTGAGATTGTAGTTGCATGTTTTACAATGACTTCCTAATCTAAAAAAAAGGGGGGGAAAAAACTAAAAAAAGAAAAAAAAGAAAAAACGGTTAAAAACCAAATTTCAAGAAGAATTCAAAAAGTTCACACAATGCACTGTGTGCTGTTTGTACTGTTATGTGCGCGCATCATTTCCTGCAAATCTAAAAATAACACAGATCAGTAGCACATCAGTTTCTCAGGTCGATCTGTCTGTCTGTATGTCTGAGTTACAAGCAGTCACGTCATTTGAGAGCAAAGTGATTCTTGCATCTACTCAGTGATGAGCCATTCCAGGATTCATTCAAAAGAACATCAAAAGGCCAGTTTTATCGCAAATCATGATGATGCAAGATGTGCCAGCTCTGAACACTGAGTGTAATGTAAAGAGATTTTACAAATAAAAGGAAATAAGAATTTTTCTTGTGCGTCATAAAATTCCTGTCTGAAACCACAAAAATGATCACTTGGAATTTTTTTTACAAAACATAAGATGAAAAAATAAAAAAAAGAATAATAAAATAAATTAATCAGTAGTAAATAGTAGTAATAATAATAATGATTAGATTTACTGTTATCCACCGTGCTGTTGTTACAGGAAAAAGCTACACTGTCTTGTTGTCATTTGTTTTGACAAACGTTTTGACTACTTTTACATCATACAGAAATATATGTATTGTTTATTATTTGAGGCAATGCAAACACAACACAGGTAGAGCGATGCAAATGACCCACAAATACAGGTGCGACTCTATAATTGGTCTTGGTTACCGGGGACTCTTATTGCGGATGGACAGGTGTAGATGTGTGACTGCAGATGACTACATTAAGCTGTAATGAGTTCCTTACTTTTCTTTTATCCCGCCGCGTACGCACAAATTAATGCCAAATCAATTAAAATAAATACCGAAAATAAAACACAAATATCTGACATTTCCTGGAACAGGATCCAGCAAGATCCAGCTAAAATTAATCCCTGATTTATATACACTTATATATTTATAATGTCCCGCTGGGAAGCAACTTAAAAAAGCTTTTGTGAATGAAGTGCACAAGGACAAATGTCAGCGTGTACCCAATAGAAACGAGGCAGCCAGCAGGCGCGGAAGAAAAATGGGAATGTTTCTCTGCCTGCGTCATGCACAGCCGATGTCCCGCCACTGAGAGCCATACACCCCACCGGGATTGGTAGGATCGTTCAGCTCCACACACAAAACTGTAAAGTGCTATACATATGAAACTCCTGTGCCGCACTGACATTAAGCTTTAAAATTAAGCCGGGGCCACAAACTATCATCCTGCAGGCTGCAATTGGCCCGCAGGCCACGAGTTTGAGACGACTGATCTAAAGGTTATCGCACCCACAGACTTTCATTAAAAATATGGATACCAGAGCACAATGGTTTCAAATCATCATTACTGTAATTTAGAAAAAAAGTGAGTAAATTAACAGTGAAAGAATGGGTTTTAACCACAGCGGTTCGAATTGTAGTTCTGCCGAATGACTTAAAGGTTATCAGCATGATACTTAAAAAACTCTACATTTCTAGTCGAACCGTTCCTTCTGCAATCTCATACCAAAAAAGAAAATAAGGGCAGTATTAATAGCTATAAATGTGGGAGAGCGTTGATATTATGTGATTGTATTGTATTGCAATATGGAACAATTAAATGTTGAAGTTAATTCAAAAGTAATTCACAAAATATTTAAAAAAAGAAATGATTTAATGACAATAATTCTCTATGGTTACAACTGAATTAATTACAAAATAACTGTATAAAATTATAAAACATAAAATGATAAAAACATATGATATAAATTGTACCCAGCTTTAATGTAAAATTAAAGTTACCAGAGGTAAAAGGAGAGAAAAAGGGGAGGGAGAGAAAGAGACAAACAGAGCAGGCCCAGAAGCTAGCCTGATTGCAGTAGAGTCCGAGAAGATAGACTCTAGAGGAGGAGAGGAGCAGAGCAGGACAGAAGCAGACCAAGAGAAGACAGGCCAGGGAAAGAGACAGAGCAGAATTTTACACCTGTTTTGTATCTTTCTTGACCATGTGAC